ATCCAAAGGGCTCAGAGAGCATGGAGAGCATGGCAAATCTAAGGGGATGCATGGAGGGATGGATTGATGAGATGGTCTGAGATGGTGACTCAACTGTCACCAACTATTTCCATGCCTGTGGGAGACATCACTCATAAATCACAGCATTTTCCCACAATCTTTGATTGGTCCCCAGAATCCTTCTGCAGGGAGGTATTATAAATCCATACATAATGGTACACGCCGGTAATCCTAGCTACTCAGGAGGCTGATGCAGGAGGATAACAACTGTGAGACCATCCCGGACAAGTTAGCAAGTCTGTGTCTCAAAGCAAAAAAATTAAACGGCTGGGGGTATGGCTCAGTGGTAGAGTAACCCTGGGTTCAATCCCCAACAAAACAAAATAAAAATCAATCAGTCAATCTACTGGTGTTAGTATACAAGTGAAACTTCTGTGTTACTTTGGGTTGGGAGAGGCATCTGTAAGTTTGAGGATAATGTTTCTGAGGTTAGTTTGGGTTTACACAGGAAATCTATCTTGTAGAGTGGGGATAAAAAATAGACCCCAGAGGATTTTATACTATCGAGGGTAACTTTTCTCCTGACATCAATAAGATGTGAGATGGATTGAGATGGAGATCCAAAGTATGTTTATGTTACATCTGTTGTAGAAGAATATCTTTTCACTTACTGAGTCCACCGATCACTATTCCTAGGGAACCAAAGTTGGCAAACCCACAGAGGGCATAAGTGGCAATTGTCTCAGAACGAATCTGCAAGCAAGCATAAACACCAATGGATACATGTTCTGACCCAGCCTAAGAAACCTGACATCCCAACTTGGCTTTGTATTTTGACTACAGAATTGATATTAACACATAAATGCACAGCATATAGTGGCAAATACCCATTGTTTCCTGGGCAGTTTTTACCACCTCCCCTTGAATTTTGGGAGAGGGTGAAGAGGGCCGTGTAGATTCAAGAAATGCTCTACAATGGACTTCAAATTGGTCACCTGGGTTTCTAAAAATGCTACTTCCTGTTCATTGGTAATTTCCAATATTCCATAGGACCTGGCCACCTGCTACAATGTGCCAGGTGTAGTACTAGTTGGTGGAGATACAAAATTGGTCCCAGAAAATATTTACATTAAATTTATTTTACAAAGAACTTATTCAAAATATATAAAGAACTGCTATTACTCGATAAGAAGACAAATACCCAAGGAAAAATGGGTGGAGAGGTTTGGATACTTCACAAAAGATGCAAATGAACAAGAAGCTCATGAAAAGGTGCTCAACATCATTAGCCACCAGGGAAATGCAAATCAAAAACAATGAGATACCACTATACATTTACTAAAATGGCTAAAGTTTAAAAAGACTGACAACATGAAGTATGGCAAAATTACAATGCAACGGAAACTCGTGTATTGCTGGTAGGAACGCAAAAGGACACAGCCATGCTGTTTTATGGCAGATTCTCATCAAGTTAATACATGCTGCCTGTATGAACCAGCAATTTTCCTAAGAGAATTATAAAAACACATGACCCCCCAAATACTGTACATGAATATTTATAACAGCTTTACTCTGAATAGCCCCACACTTAAGACAACTCAAATGTCCTTCAGTAGGAAAATGGACACAGTATGAATATCTATAAAATAAAATGCTGCTCTGCAAG